AACTCTAGTTCATTCAGTCCAGAGTGTGGCCCAGGAATATGCAAGAATCAGTGAGGACTCTTTGGGTACAAGTGGCAGAAATCCAACTCAAACTGGCTTAGGCAGAATTGAGAATTTACTTGCTCGTGAATTACAAAATTCTGAGGTTGGAAAGTTTTAGGCATAGCTGGATCCAGGTGTTCAAACATGTCTTCAGGAATCACATTGTCTCCATTGTTCAGCTCTGCTGTCCTTTGTGATGGCTTCACTCAAAGGCAGTCCCTCCCTTCATGATGTCAGGATGGCTCCCAAGAGCTCCAGTTTTCTACATCCCTATCTACATCTATACCCACATCTATACCTGCATCCACATCCACAGCTACATCCACATCCACATCTATAGCTACATCCACATCTATAACTACATCTCCATCCACATCCACATCTCCATCTATATCTATACCTACATCCACATCCACATTCATATCTACATCGACGTCCACATCTATACCTACATCTACATTCACATCCACATCAACGCTTATGGAAAGAGAGTGCCTTTTCCCTAATTTTTCCAGCAAAACCTCAGGGCAGACTCTGCCTCGGCTAGGATCACGTACATACCTATAACTGAACCAAGCACCATTGGTTGTCGTGGAACATGGAATTCTCGAATGGGCTGGGCCTGTATCAAGTTGTCAATCCCTGAAGGCAAGGGTGGGGTAGCCCCCTGAAAGCCCATTGAGTGGGAGAAGCTGGGTGCCCAAGGAATATCCAGGCACTGTTATCAGAAAAGGGATGGATGCTGAGGAAGCAAGAGCAAAAAATGTTCATCTGCCCGGTTCTCAATTAGAATGATCACGGGAATTACCTGAGCCTCGTTAAAACGCACATTCCGATTTGGGAGGTGGGGCCCGAGATTGCATTTCTAACGCCTCCGGTACGAAGATGCTGCTGGTCTTCATGCTGGCCACACTCTGAGTAGCCAGGCACTCTTACATTTCTCACTCAGTTCAAGCAACTGTGCAGCCCCCGCTCTGCAGAGAAGCCCTGGGATATATAAACCTCTTCCCTCGCCCTCTCCCCACCCCCATCCCATGGTTTCCAAACCCACCCAAACATCAGCATCATGTATTTGGGGACTACTTGTCAACATACAGCAGACTTTGCTGCCAAATCACTGTTCATTGTGTTCTCCAGTGACCTTTATAGGATGATTCACATAATAAATTCTCTTTTGAATTTAGTGCTCAAAAAATATTTGTTTCTCTCAGTAAATTGCCATGCTTCCTGGGATTTTATGTTAACAATGTACAAATTGCCATTTTTATCTTGGCTGCTAGGAAACTCAGAGATAAATCTACTGCTCAATGGCAGTAGCAGTAGCACCCTAGGCTTCTGGTTCAATAATCTTTCCTTTCTAAATGGTGTAGCATAACCCTTTTTGAGTCTTGAAGTGCTCTGTATATGGTTTAATATTATAAGCTCCCTCAAATCCTTTTTGAAAGTCAGTGCTTCTTTGGAACATTCTTGAGTTTCCCCCAATCTTTATTGAAATCCTTCCCGTTCTTCAAAACCCAACTCATTATCCTGCTGCTCAATTATTATAAACAGGTTGTTTTTCCTATGAACAAACTAGCATACACATGTTAGTGGCAGAACCCGGATATATATTCATTTTACAAAATGGCTTGATATTATATATGTTTTGCAGTTTGCTTTTCTCACTCAGTGAGTATTGTAGCAGTCTTTGCATGGCTCTGACTGTCCTTGCCAATGCCTAACAGCTTCTTGGGAATGTAGTTCTGTATGTCCAGTCTTCCCATCCCAACTGGAGCAGGAACCAGGTCCTGATGCTTTTACTTTGGCCTGACCACATAAAGCGTGGGCTCTGGGCATGTATTTACTCACTAACGGTGCATTATGCTCCTACCGTGTGCCAGGGAGGCACTGAGCTAAGTGCTGAGGGACACAGACATGAACAAGACCAGCCTCTGCTGTGCTGCAGAGATGGAAACTTTCTGTATCTGCACTGCTGAGTACAGTAGCTTGAGCCACAGACAGGTCTTGAGCACGTGAAACACGGCAAGTCCTAGCTGAGATGTGCTGTACGTGTAAAACACACCCTGGGATGTGAAGACTCAGCATGAAAAAATATGTATATATAAAGTATCTCAATGATAATTTTATATTGAGTACATGTTAATAATTTTGACATATTGGGAAAAATAAATACATCTTAAAATTAATTCCCTTGTTTCTTTTTACCTTGAAAAAATGTGGCTGTAGAAAATTTTTAATTATATACGTGGCTCACGTTACATGGCTAGGTCTAGTGGTCGTGAAAATAAGCATTTCTGAGGCCGCTCCAGACCAGGCAGTAGAATGGTTCTCTTGACTTAGGGGGAAATCACATTTTATGCAAATTTGACTCCTGCTAGGACATCACTTTAAAAAAAAAAACTTTATTGTGCAAAAATTGAACTAACGGGAATTCCCTATTTTAAAAAGTTAACTTCTAGAGTACTGTGGTATCTCTACACTTGTAGGCCAAAGGACTTGCAAACAGTGCTTCCTTTATGCTCCAGGGCAGTGCCACATTTGCTAGGGAATGGAAATGGTTAAGGTTAACATTTCTGTCGCACTTATCGTGTGGCAGACACCTTTACACTTCTCAGCTCATCTGTGATTGCAGCCACCCCGGGAGGTAGAACCCCACCATCCATGGATCATGCGTGTTCATGCCTGGGGAGACCCATCCCTCGAGACCCTGTGGCCATGCTGAATATGTAACTTGATGATGTAAGGCATACCCAATAGGCACTCAGAGAGGTGGAGGGAGCGGCTGTACCTCACACAGCTATGCTCTTCCCAGAACACCCTTAAGTTAATCAAAATATATGAAACGTCATATAATTTTGTCATACAAAACCACACACTATGCTGTTTTATTTCCCACAAGTGTAAACCATATTTATCACAAGTCAGAGAGGTATTGGTTTTTGTTTTCGATGCATACAAGTACATTATAAAGCACTGATTCATTGCAATCATTTTTCAAAATAATGATCTAGCGCTCCAGGAGTCTGGATTAGTTCCTTACTTTATTTGCAAAAGGCGAATGAAGCAAAACCCGCTCAAGTCTTGATGTGGTAAACTGTTCCCAGTTCCCACCAGGACAGACAGAAAACATCCTTGTAAATAAAAAGAATCTTAAAAAAATAACTCTCGTTAACCTAGGAATTCGGGGTTATTTCTTAAGCCACAAACACATGTTTATTTTAACAAGATAAGTATAACTGAGTTCTAACTGCTTTAGAAGAGAATTGTGATTGTGTAGAGATGAGGAAGACAGTTACTTCCTTATGTGGCGGCTCACAGCCTATCTTCTCAGCAAATACATGTGCACATTTTGAGAAAAGAAAGAAAAAGTTTCTGCCACTTTAACAATTAAGTTTTGACTCTGATCAGGTAAAAGTGTTTTCTTTAAGTGTCTTTAAATTTGATTAATCCACCAGCAAAGTCTGTCAGCTCTACCTCCAAAATGTCCCCCGAATCTGTCCACTTCTTACCCCCTCCTCGATAGCCACCACCCCGGGCCAGGCCACCATCATCTCAAGCCTGGACTCCTGCAGTGGACAGGGCTCCCTGCCCTGCTCACTAAAGTCCATACTCCACCGAGCAGCCAGTGGGATTATTTAAAGTACACACTGAACCCTGTCATCCTTCTGCTTGAAACTTTCCATGGTTTCCCATCATCCTTAGAATCAAATCCAAACTCCTCACAACATGGGGCATCCTTGTCACATGCTATCCTCTCTCTGCTGCCTGTGGTCTCCAGTCACACTGGCCTCCTTTCAGTGCCCGATTCTCTTCAATCACATTCCTTTGCACTTGCTGTTCCCTCTGCCTGGAACACTGTTCCCTCAGAGTGTTACATAACTGGCTCCTTTGTGTCAGTCAGGCCCCAGGTCCAATATCACCTCCTGAGAGAGGCCTTCCCCAACCGCCCTGTGTAAAGGGGCCCCGCATAGTTGTTCCTGATCACATCCTCTTTTATCATCCTCACACTTTTCACTAACTGAATTTATCTTGTTATTTATTTGTTACCTGTTTATCGTCTGCGTCTCCCATCCACCTCCAGAGTGAGCTCCGTAAGGGCATGAACTTGCTTGTCTTAATCATGGTTTAGAAGAGTGCTCAGTAAACGTTTGCTGAGTAAATGAATGGTTGAATGACCAAATAAATCCATGAGCGAAAGAAGGGAAGGAAGAAAAAAAGAAAAAGGGGCGGGGGGGGAGGGAGGGAAGAAGGAAGGAAGCTGTTAGAAGGCAACTAGAAAATGATGTGAGGAATATGATGACCTTGATTGTTTGAGCCACATTATGTGACCTGATCCTTATCAGTTTATATAAAATGTTGACGTTATATAATGAGAGTATAGTTTTACTTCACCATTTGCTCTGAGCCTGACTCTGTGTTGAGTATTTCCCCACCCACGTGCTTTCTCGTCCTCCCAACGCGCGGCGAGTAGGTCGTATTATTATCCCCACTTTGCTGATGAGGAACTGAGACTGGGGAGCAGGGGGCATGGTAAGTGAGCTGCTAGTTGGGGAGGGAGGGGTCAAGCGTCAGCTCAGGCTTTCTGACCCCAGAGCTGGCAGCTCCCACACTCCCCCCCCCACTCTGCTCCGAGGCTCCACCTGCTGAATTTCAATGATCATCACGATTTATTCTCTGAATAAACTCCCCATCGCAGGGGTCCTTGGTAGCATGACTACGACAGCTTGTCAGCTCTGTGTGGGTGCGGGCCAGACGTGGTGTGGGGAAGCCCAGAGATGACAAAGGCAGAGTGAGCTCCACGTGGCCAGGGTGGGGTGAGGGGGGCAGAGAGGCGGAGGGGAGACAGGGAAGGTGACAGGGTGCCAGCCTGGGAACACGGGGTCTAGAGCCCAGCATCAAAGACTCCCCCGTGTGGGGCTCAGAGCAAGCGGGGCTCATCTCCTTTCTCTCTACCACAGGATGGGGTGTGTGAAGTCCAAGTTCCTCCGGGATGGAGGCAAGGTCTCAAAAACGGAGCCCAACACCAGCCCACACAGCGCTTTGTATGTGCCGGATCCCACGTCCTCGGGCAAGCGGGTGAGTTGGGGAAGAAAGGGGAGACCGACGGCAGCCCGGGGGCTGCCCCAACCTGCCCTCACCGCTTCCTGTTTTCCCAAGGGCGAGCAGGGTGAGCCTGGGGTGAAATGGAGCTTACCGGTTGCCAGCAGCTCCCTGACTCCCCAGGATACACCTGCACCAAGCACCCAGGGCGGGGATGTCACTGCCCCTTGTCCCACTGCCCAGGCCTTGGCCCATCAGCCTGGGTGACCAGGTCCCAGGGGGCATGGCCGGCCTCACACCTAGGAAGTACCATAAGCAGTACTGAGAGTAATGAGTGAGTAGGTTAGTGACAACAGCAGTTGAAGTAATGACAGGAATGATGACAGTATCAGCATCATGGCAGTAACTGTAATAACAATGGTAGCAATAACAGTAACAACAATACTAGTGGCAATATAACAGCAATAGCAGTAGGAACAAAAGCAGAAAGAGTAAATGAGAGAAGTGGTAATACTAGCAGAGGTTATTTGCTTACTTCTCTTACACTTCTACAGAGCTTACGATGAACCAAGCCCTACCTTAAGTGCATTACTGTTACTAACACCTTTAATCCTCACAACAGTGCTCTTGTAGGTCACAATTTATATTATACCCATTTTACAGATGAGACACAGAGAGATTAAATAACTTGCTGAAGACCACCTGGTTGTAAGGATTGAAACTTGGGCAGTGCAGTTTCCAATGTCCCAGGGGTAGGAACAAGAGTAACAGAGCCAAATGCTAGTGACAAGAACAGTAGTCGTGGTGGCAATAGTGGGGGTCCTGGGAGCAGTAGTTGCCACAGAAGTAGCCCCACTAGTAATGGTAGTTGTGATAGTCAGAAGAGCCGTAGCAGTAGCAATAGTAGTGATTACAATAATCGTACTAGTAAAGGGACAACAGTACTAAGAGCAGCAATAACAGTTGTAATAATCATTACTGTTCTTTGAAAACCTACTATGTTCCGGGCACTGGAGTGAGGTATTTCTGTTCATTAATCCTCACCAAAAACTGAGGCTGGAGTTACTTTACTTTACAGCCAGGCTGACTGAGGCTCAAAGAGGTTAAATGGCTCCCCTGGGCTCATACCGCTGGGAAGCAGCAGAGCTGGGTCTTCCTAAACTCAAGGCTAGGTTCTCTCTCCTATAGGATCCTTTCGTCCATCCCCTTACCTGAGGCTGTCCAGGAAGGACAGCCTCTGCTCGCTGCCTGCAGAGGCAGGGGTGCACTCTTTCCTGGTGCCCCTTAGAAGGTTCTTCCTTGTATTGAAGGGAGGCATATTACCCCATAACCCTTACTCCTGGATCACACACCTGCCCCTTAGTCCTGCCCCAAACACATGGAAATGGGAGAAGACTGGAATATTCACCTCCCTCCTTCTGACACTTGACATCTATTAATACAGCCTGAGGTTACACGAGATCCTGAGCTGACATCCTAAACCCTAAGTCACTCCCAGGTCTGCTTCTCACCTGGCCTGCGTGTCCCGGGGCCCTTTCTGTGGCCAGGGCTCCAGGTTCTCAGGTTCTCTGAGGCCTTCTGGCTTGTCAGCAGAGGGAAGCAGAGGATTTTCTCCCACCAGTTTCCGGCTGTTCTCTCTGAGCATCAGGTTTAAGGGACGCTATTATCAGCCATTCACTGTTCCCCTCATTCAGAGCACTGGTTCAGCAGTAAGTTAGTAACTGACAAAGGGTTCCCAGGTCATATCAGTTTGCAAAACACTGGGCCAAACACTCCTTCCCTGTAGGACTCAGAGCCTTTATAAATCTTTGTAATGGGCTTTGTGACTCTCCCCAAAAAGGATATACTTCTTAGTGTTTCCCAAACCTATTTCTTTAAATTAATGTTTACTTATGTGTGTAACACACAAATTCATTCTCCTTGAAGATAAAAATCACAGATTTCAGTGAAAGCTACAGTCTCTGCTGACCAATGCCCCACACCCTACCTCAGAGGTATCAGCTGTTGTCAGTTTGGCATGGAACCTTGCAAACCTTTTTCCATGAATTTACACTCACATGTGTACAGTATGTGTCCACAGCAAGTGTTTAGGATGTTTGAGTATGTGTTTTATACCAATGTATCATATTTACCATTCTGAAGAACTAGCTTTGTTTGCTCAACAATATATCTTTGAGGTCTCATTGTGTCAGGAAGGAAGCGGCCTTCCTTTTATAAGGGCTGCTTAGAGCACCACAGTGTAGGAACCAATTCCCCTTTGGACAGACACTTATGTTGTTTCACATACATAGTGGAGCCTTTATTCATGGGCCACGTTGGTAGACCTAGGGTTTCTTCAAACATAGCTTGGAAAACACTGATCTGGACCAAGCCCCTCACTGTATGTCGAGGGGAAGGCACAAGTATGTCCCCGAGTATGTCCAAGGCTGAAGGCAGAGCCTACAACCCAAGAGACCTGCATCCTTGTGCTGGCTGTGCCCCTAATGTGCTGTGTTACCTTGGGCACTTCCCAGCCCTCTCTGGGCCTCCTCCCATGACTCACGGGGCTGGGATATCCTTTTTGACACAGACCCTCCATGGCTACACACACACTATTGGATTCATCCCCTTCTCCCATTTCTTCCCCACAGTGGCCTGACAGTAGCAACGGCAACCCACCAGGGTCCAGAGAGGGTAAGTAGCTGGCAAGCACGTGTAGTGGAGTCATGTTATGTAGTGGATTAGGTTAGGTTCTCAGTCAGAGCTTGAGGCAAAAATCCCAAACAGTCAAAACCACTCTTGAAAATCCCATAAATTTCCCCCAAAGTACTTAGTACAAGCTATTGTTTTTCTATAATGTTGTTTCATAACATGAACAAAACTCCGTTAGCTTTAAACTCAAGAATCGCAGCTGGCATGGCAAGATGCTTACTTATATCACGAGACAGACACATCAAGGGGTCCAGGGCTGGGTGCCAGGTGTTGGGGTGGGAAACACCCAGGACTGTGGGTGTGCTCAGATAAAGCCTCACCATCCCACATGTCTCTCTTCCCAGCAGGTTCTGAGGAGATCATTGTGGTTGCCTTGTATGATTATGAGGCCATTCACCATGAAGACCTCAGTTTCCAGAAGGGGGACGAGATGGTGGTCCTGGAAGAGTGAGTCCCCATTCCACTCCCCTCTAAGACATACCTATCTCCAATACTCAGTTTTGCTCTCTTGTGCTTCAGTAAAGGACCTGATAAACTATATTACACGAGGGTGTAAATGACTGATGAGAACCTGATCGTAATAAAGGAAGAAGAGTTTGCTGTTAACCTGGCTTACAGCCGCAGTAAAGGGGCTTGCATACTTGCTAATGGCACATCCAGGCAAGGATGGACAGTAGAAAGTGCTTTCTCAGGGAAGCCTTCCTTGGATTCCTATGATTAAGCTGCAGCCTTACCTATGGACCAGACCCTGCTGAGGTGACTTTGCATTCAGAAATCCATGGATCTCTGAGCTTGCTACCTCCAATCTCCTACCATCTTCACCATCAGTGGATGTAGTGTCTAGTATGTCCTGGGGCCCAAGGATGGGAGTGGTTGTGCTTGGACAGACTCCTGAGCCCACTCCTTCTGGCTCTCAGCCCCAACGAGCCACTGTGAGCCTGCCACGGGCATAGGGCCCCACCTTACATATGGCTAATAAGGCCAAGGCCACAAGTCCAGGGAATAAGAGTGAGGCCACAAACCTAGGACTCTGAATGCAGGTACAGGGCTTGATTCTAGCCCTGGGCAGACCTTCAGAGGCACAGTGGGGATTGTTGTAAAGGTATTTACCTTAACGGGGTGAAGGCTGGAAGCGGAGACAGTAGTGGCCCTGCCCTTCACCCTACCAGCTTCCTGGTGTTGGGGGTATTCCAGGCCAAGGCTGGGGGGCCCAAGAGGACCAGGAGTGGTCCTCCTGCCCTCTGACCCCTTTGCTTCCTCCTGTCCCTCAGATCTGGGGAGTGGTGGAGAGCACGATCCCTGGCTACCCGGAAAGAGGGCTACATCCCAAGCAACTACGTTGCCCGAGTCAACTCTCTGGAGACAGAAGAGTGAGTATTCTATTTCCCCGCCCTCCAGAAGGAAGCATGAACAGAGCCAGCCTTGCTCCTGCCTCAGGGCCTTTGCACTCACTGTCTCCCCTGCCTGGCACACTCTTCCTAGGGCTCTTTGCCTGGCTGGTTCCTTCTCATCTTTCCAGTCTCAGAGAGGCCTTCCCGGTCTCAAGCAGGTCCCCTCTGAGATTCTCTCTCTCTCATGGAAACCCATTTTACTCCCTTCTAGACACTTCTCACTAGCAAAAATGATCTTGTTTCCTTGGTTGTTCACGGGTTCGCTGTCTGCCTCCCGCACCTTGAGAACCACTGACCTAAATACCTATGTGAGTCTTACACTCCTGGGTTCTTGTGTCTGCATCAAGAAACTGCTCACAGAGGCTGCCTCTGGGGAGGGCAGCTGGGGCACTGGAATCAGCGTGGGATGAGATCTTATTTCCTCATCTGCCTTGAAATAGGCAATATTTTCAAATGTTTCAAAATGCAAATGGTGCAGAAGGACCTAGGATAAAGAGTGAAAAGTGTTCTTCCCACCCTATCCCCACCCAGCTACTTCCCTTCCAGAAGCAACCAGTTTCTTGTACATCCTCCCAAATGCTTTATACTTGATTAAGAAAATACATATATCTCCCTCCATTTTACACAAGTGGCAGATTGAACGCACACTGTTCTACTCCTTTTGTTCAGCTCTTCCGTGCAGCACCTACCGTATCCTCCTTTTCACAGCTGCAGTGTCTGTCACGTAGATGCCCCACTATCCCCTGCCAGCGGTCACTTAAGCTGCTTCCAGTCTTGTGCTGCGGTGAATCTCCTTGCGTATATGTCACTTCCTCCTGTGCAAGATCGGTGGGATAACTTCCTAGGGATGGAATTGCCAGGGAGATCGCTCTTACTCTGTACCCTTTAACATTGCTTGAACATTTTACCATGGCATGAATTACTTTACCAAATGAGAGCAAAGAAGGCAAGTGGGAGGTGTAGAATGGTGACTAAGACCTTGGGCTCTGGAGTTAGACTGCCTGGCTTTGAATCCTGCCCCCACCACTTCCTAGCTCTATGACGCCAGGCAAGTTACTTGCTTTCTCTGTTCCTCAGTTTCCTCATCTATAAAGTGGGGATAATAAAGGCAATGATTCCACAGAGTTGTTGGGTGGGTAACAAGAACTTGAGGAATGTCAGCTGTCTGTCTCCCCAGTTGATAGCAGAGGAGACAGGAGTCCAGAGAGGGAAAGCGACATGCTCAAAATCACACAGCAGATTTGTGGCAGGGTCAAGGCCAGCTGACCTCTGGTCTGAGGTTTTTCCATCACAGCCCATGAACTACTCCTCAGGGAACGGGTTTGTTTGCTGCTGCTTGAATTTTTCCACCCAAGATCCCAAACATCCAGGGAGTATGAAGAAAAGGTCCAAGGATATGGTCCCAAGTAGAGAATCATTTGAAATCTCGCCTTTTATCTTAGAAATGCATGCCGACTTTATATTCACTCTGTATCCACAGAGGAGGATGAACTGTGGCAGTAACAGAGCTCAGCCCTCACTCACGTGGGCCTCCAAGACCCTGAAAAGATGGTCAAATGTTCTTGTGAAATTTGGAGAAGTAAGATTTTTGACCGCAGTTTGTTAAGACCGCTGTATTTTTCCACCCAATCTTTCTGTTCATCACCTTATCCCTCCCGTTGGGTGGTGCTGGAATGACCACGAGCATTTTGTATTTGTAACGCTGTGTTACTTTTCTTGAAGAAAGCTCCCCAAATTGCATAAGTTTCAGCCTCAGCAAACTGGATTCACCAGTTTGGTAAAATGTCTGTTTTAATGTTAAAATATTAAAAGAATGGTTGTTTTCCCCAAAAGAATCTGAGTAAAATTGATCCCGCAGGAAGCCTGGCCCTCAGAGTCCTGGTGCCGGGCAAGAGCGCTGAGAGCCAGCCAGGACTGTCCGCCACGGGTTCACACGCTGCACCCCCCTCCCCTCCAGGTGGTTCTTCAAGGGCATCAGCCGGAAGGATGCAGAGCGCCAACTCCTGGCCCCTGGCAATGTGCTGGGCTCCTTCATGATGCGGGACAGCGAGACCACCAAAGGTGATGCGGGCCCTCCCAGCCCTGTGTCCCTGCCCACCCACCCCTACCCCACGGGGAATGCCCTGGGGGATGGGGGCCTGAACAACTCACCAGCCCACCGCGGCTTCCAAGCTTCCTCCTGCCCTTTGCTCAAGCGTAGTTTGGGCCTTCTCAGCCCCCAGAGCTGCCGGCTTAGGCCAATGGAAGTAGGAGGCAGTGACCGCCCCTAAAAACAACATCCTGCTTGTATTCTTTTAAATATCCATCAAAATATATCTTGTCCCTAGACCTGGCTCTTCCCTCTCTCCATACGAAAATGGGTGGCCTCCTCCCAAAGGAGGGCCTTCGCTGGGACCCTGCTTAAAATAGCTCCTTTGAGGTATTTGGAAGTTTTGATGTTGGAGGCCTGCTTCCTGAAATTTCTGTGCTGTGAGGGTGGCTTTGTGCCAGGTCGTCGCACAGGAGGCAAGAGCAGTGCCCCAAAACAGTGCGTAACTCAAACTGACATCAACTGAGGCCAGTTTTCCCAAAGGAATGAATGCAAGTAGGAGTCTCGTGATTTCGGATTTCACACACAGAGTGGACCTTTACTACGGTGTTTAGTCTCAAGACTGCTTGGTTCAAAGAAATCAGTAAATTGCGTAAAGTGTGACCTCACAGTACCCTGGGCAAACAGTTTTGGGGCCAACAATCGAAGGCATCTGTGTGACCTTCTACTCACTCCCCAGGTATCTGAACTGGGGAAGCCTGAATGTGGCTAGAACACCACTCAAAATCAGTGTTTTGGGTCAGTGAATATTTAGGCTTTATTTCCTCCCACCCAAAAGCCCCTTTTCAGCCCCCAGAGGAAAAGAAATGGACAAAAAGGTAAAGCCGTACACAGCCCTCGGCTTCTCTTCTCCCGCTGGGCCATCCTGCACACAGGGGCAGACCTACGGGGCAGGAAGGTGAGCTTGGGCCACTGTCACAGCCCTCAGAGGTGGGGGCATAGGCGGGTTCGCCGAGTTAATAAAACTTGCAGCACAAGTGCCCCAAATCCTATCCTGCTTCTTCTTGGATTCTGCTTCTCCCCACCCAGCATCGGCCAAACCAGCCTCACCTTGACTGGGCAGAGTGGCTAAGAGTGGGGGTCCCAGAGCCTGCTGCCTGGGTTTGACTCCCAGCTCTGCTACTTACAAGCTGTGTGACTGTGGGTGAGTTACTTCACCTCCCTGGACCTCAGTCTCCTCATCTATAACATTGTGGTGTGAAGAACCTCTACCTTGTGGGGTTATTCATTCACTATAGTGAATAATATCATTTATCATAATACATATAACTATAATTCATTGTAATGAATATTATTCCTATTCATTCATTTTTTCTTTCGTTCATTTTTTATTCAGACAAGGTTCTTAGTGGCTAGCATGTATGATCAGCTGTTATTCATGCAACAGTTTAAACCTCCCCCAAATCCTATGACATGGTGCTACTGTGGTAGAGAAAACTGAGAGACAGAGAGGCTGATAACTTGCCCAAGGACACTCAGCTCACAAATGGCAGAACCGTGGCCGTGGACTGAAAGACGTGTGTGTTTCTGGTCTATGTGATGCCATGTGTATTAGGTTCCTATTGCTGTTGTAACAAATTACCACAAGCTTAGTGGCTTAAAGCGAGATAAATTTATGGTGTTACAGTTCTGGGGGTCAGAATTCTGAAATCAGTCTCACTGGGCTCAAGTTAAAGTGTCCGCAGGACTGGTCCCTTCTGGAGGCTTCACAAAAGAATCTGTTTCTTTGCCTTTTTCAGCTTCTAGAGGCCACCAGCATTCCTTGCCTCATAGCCCCTTTCTCACATCTCTCCAACCTCAACTTTCCATCTTCATATATCCTACTTTGACCTTCTTACTTCCTCTTATAAGGACCCTTGGGATTACACTGGGCCTACCTGGATAATCCAGGATGATTTCCCTATCTCCAGATCCTTAACTGAATCACATCTGCAAAACCCCTTTTACCATGTAAGGTAATATATGTACAGCTGTCAGGGATTAGAACACGGACATCTTGGGAGCTGTTACTCAGCCTGCCACAGCATTTAATGTTTACACTTACATTTCAATGTTTGTACTGTAATAATTGAACTGGATATTTTTGTGTTTGTTTTATCTTTTTGCTTGTTTGTTTCTAAATAGCGTTTCTACCAAACTGGTGTGGTATCTTGGCTTTTGTGATTGATAGATAGATGATAGGAAGAAAAAGAGATAATAATGAAGATGATGACAGCCAACATTTAATGAGTGTTTACATCCTGAGTACAAGCATTACTTCTTTTAACCATCAGGCAATGGGATGGGGGTGAGGAGGTATGACCAATCCCATTTTACAGATGAGAAAACTGAGGCCCAGAGAAGTGACGTGGTCACTTGTCCAAGGTCTCACAGCTGGACGTGGAGCAGCCTGAGAAGCACCCAGGAAGCCTGACTCCACAGCCCACTCCTACCCTGTACTCCACTGAGCAGGTGCCAGGACGGTGCCAGTAGTGGCCTCACAGAGTGTCAGGTTGCTGACACAAGGTGGCAGGCCTCCGAGAGTCCACTCCTGAGGGGTTTCTCTCTGGCCCACGCAGGGAGCTACTCTTTGTCCGTGCGAGACTACGACCCCCAGCACGGGGACACAGTGAAACATTATAAGATCCGGACGCTGGACAATGGGGGCTTCTACATCTCCCCCCGGAGCACCTTCGGCAGCCTGCAGGAGCTGGTGGCCCACTACAAGAGTGAGTCCTGGGAGTTCCCTGGCGATCCAGTGGTTAAGACTCCGCGCTTTTAATACAGGGGGTGCAGGTTCAATCCCTGATCAGGAAACTAAGATCCCACATGCTGTGGGACGCAGCCAAACAAACAAAAAAGAGTAAGTCCTACTGGGGCTGCCTTCCAACCGGGGGCCCAAGTGGGTGGGTCTGTTTCCCCGGAATCCTGGTCAAGTGTGCACTGCAGCCTCTGAGGCCTGATGATGCTTCCTCCCCAGACAAATAGTTGCTTCGGAGTCTCCTGAAGGCCTTTTGAGCAGGAGGACAGAGGTGACATCTCGTCATGCTCTGTTCTCTTGGGGATGTCCCTGATAGGGCGACCCTTTGGAACACGGGCCAGATACAGTGGACCAGGTGGGGCAGCCCCCAAGGGGAAGCCTGTGGCTGGCCTGGAGCTGGCTGCCCTCAGCTGATCAGGGGCTCTATTCCAGAGGGGAGCGACGGACTCTGCCAGAAGCTGACAGTGCCCTGCATGTCCTCCAAACCCCAGAAGCCTTGGGAGAAAGATGCCTGGGAGATCCCCCGGGAGTCCCTCAGGCTGGAGAAGAGACTTGGAGCTGGGCAGTTTGGGGAAGTCTGGATGGGTAAGGACCCAGGGCCAGAGTGGGGAGGGGAAGGAGGGGAGAGGGAGGTCCTTGCTTTCAGGAACAGCCTGAGGCAAAGTGGGAATGCCACCCAGGGCAGAGGGGAGATTTGAATAATAACCATAAAGGAGCAATTCTTCAGTTCCTTTCTGATAGCAAACCAAATTGTCCTGCCATGCAAACACTGATTTGCCTTTGAGGCCAGGCCTGTTGGGGTCAAACACTTTCTTCTGGGAAGTAGGAGTCCTAGATGAGGAATCTGCTCCCTCATATGGAGCTGGGACAGTCTATTAGTAGGGTGTTGACATAACCTGAACATCTCTTAGGATGATGAGAATTAAGAATGGGAAAGAATATAGGACTTCCCTGGTGGTCCAGTGGTTAAGACTCTGTGCTTCCAATGCAGGGGGTACGGGTTTCGATCCCCGGTTGGGGAACTAAGATCCCACATGCCATGCAGCATGGCAAAAAAAAAAAAAAGGGTAAGTATAACTGGAGATTTCCAGGTGAGTTCAGTGCTGGCAGCTGACGAACAAGCTGTTCTGAGCACCTGCCGTGTGCCCAGCGCCATGCTAGGGCATTGTGGAGCACCAAAAAGTCATATTCCACCCCTGCTGTCCTGCCTCTAATAACCTAAGAATAGCAAAGCCTGCTTTGCAGGACTGTGGGTTAGACACGATGCCTGGCCCAGTGCCTGGCGCCCCCCATTGTGTTTATACTCCACCACATTCCAAATGGGAGTGAAGACAACTTACAGATATGCAAACAATTCAGCCAGAAAAAAATAAGGTTAAAATCCACCTATTTTAACTATATTTATTGAGAGCCTACTATGTGCCAGGCACTGAATAAGAGAATGTGGCAGAGAGAGTATGGAGAGGAAGGTAAGACAGATTGGGCTGATGAGGTTGGAAAACAAAAAATATTATATGAGGCCTTAGACTCTTACTACAGGAAGACCTCAACTCTGGATTAGAGCTTCCTGGCAGCCAAGGCACACATGGAAACACAAGCAACAACGAGATTTACAAGAGCAACAAGATGAAGCAGGGAAGGAGTAGGGTGAGGTGAGGGAACAGCATGTGCAAAGTCCCTGTGGTGGGAAGGGGAGTTGGCTGCTTGGGGGACTGAAGGATACGCAGGCTGATTGGTGCACAAAAGGTAAGGGGGGTGTTGGTGGATGATGAGGCAAGGTGGGCAAGGCCAGATCATGCAGGGCCTTATGGACCATGATGAAACTGGTATTTATTTTGAGAGCAGTGTTAAGATTAAATAAACCATTTTAAGCAAAGATAGTATGTGTATGAATGTCTGACAAAACAAAGGTAGGTGTGTGAGGGAGTGACATAATCTGAGTGATGTTTTAAGGTTATTCTTTAATCCCTGAAAGAGCCTTTGCAGATGAGGAAACCACAGTTCAAAGAGGTTGAGTGACTTGCCCAAGGGCACACAGCTAGGAAGCGGTAAACCGGCCCTCCAACCCACATCTGTCTAAGGCCAAAGCCCATGTCTCCCCTTCTCTCTCTAAGGGCTGAGATGGGCAGGGAAGGCATCCTGGAGGAGGCAGGTCTGCACCCGGGTCTTCCAGAACTGTGGGGAAAGAGCAGTGGGTCCTGACCACCTTTCCTGCTCCCTGTCCCACTCCAGCCACCTACAACAAGCACACCAAGGTGGCCGTGAAGACGATGAAGCCCGGGAGCATGTCTGTGGACGCGTTCCTGGCAGAAGCCAACCTGATGAAAACTCTGCAGCACGACAAGCTGGTGAAGCTGCATGCCGTGGTCACAGAGGAGCCCATCTACATCATCACAGAGTTCATGGCCAAAGGTGCCACATGCTGGGAGCGGGGGATGCAGGCTGTGGCTCCTCCCGGTCAATTGCAGAGTCAACGGTGACTCTGTCACGGTTCTTGCCTTCAAGATTTCCCCAGTCTGACCAGGAGCTCTTCTGACACGAGCTCACTGATCATCTTCATATCCACCTACCCCACCCTCCTGTTTGAGGGGGTGAAATCATGTTAGGGGGTTGCCAGGAGAAGGGGAGCACATGGGCCCCTGGGAGAGCGGGTGGGGCCAGAATCCCCCTGGGTGATAGGAGAAGAGGCTTCTAGGGGCTCACTGTGAGCCCTAGAGCCTGGGGTGACTCCCTAAACCACCCCCCCACCCCCCACCATCAGCCACCTTCCCTAGCTGGACCAATGCTCCAGAAAAGAGAGTCAAAGCATTAAGACCTTTGTCAACCTTAAGAGTTGACAAAGCATCCGTTCCAGGCTGCCCCCACCCTGCCTACACACAATTCAGGACGTCTCAGGGATCTGTTTTTAGACCACCACTTACCAATCATTTTCAATCCCTGCCCATTTCTCTATACACAGAAACATCTCACATGACCTCCATTTAGAGTGATTCAACATCTCAAAGCTTTTATCATTTTCTAAACACACAATTATGCCTGCCTTATAAAACCATGCCCCCAGTCATCCAGGCTCAGAAAGCTGTCTCAGTCAAGGGACGAGTCTGGCAATCACAAAGTCGTTTTCCAAACGCCCCAATTCTGTTTCTCAAACACAAGGAGCGGTAAATACTTTTATTTAAATCCATTACTAGGAACGATCTTAAGCACACGCTGAAGTCCTGAGAGTAGTAAATGTTGCTTCACCCTCCCCGACACAGGCAGCCTGCTGGACTTCCTGAAGAGTGAAGAAGGCAGTAAGCAGCCGTTGCCAAGACTCATCGACTTCTCAGCCCAGGTGCGAGTCTAATGGGGAAGTCTGGGGAGGGCGACAGGAAGGCAATTACCTCTTCAACAAATGTTTATTGATCACATACTATAGTAGTAACAGTAATGATAGCTAACATTTATTGAGTGCTCAGGATTAAAGTATGCTTTTTCTATGTGCCTTCTATGTACTAACTCACGTAGTCCTCACATCAACCTTCTAGGGTGAGATTTTTGTTATCTATTCCTTTGTGATCAACCACTCCAAAGCTTAGTAGCCTGAAACAGCAACGTATTATTTCCCATGATTCTGTGGAGTTGACTGGGGTCGGCTGGGTGGTTTTTCTGCTCCACGTGGTGAAACCGAGGTTCCTCTTGTGGATGCATTCTTCTGAGAGCTTGCCTGGGGCTAGAATGTCCGAGACGGTGGCTCATCCTCCGAGTCTCTCTCCAGTGGCCCCACGTCACTCAATAGGCCAAGCAGAGCTCCTTTACATCCTGGCGGCGAGGTTCCAAGAGGGAATCTTCTAAGGGACCAAGCCGTAAATGAGCAAGCTCTGCTTGCATCATGCTGACTAACGTCCCCGTGGCCAAAGCAAGTCACATGCCCAGCCCTCAGTCAGTGTGGGAGGGACTACACCATGAGTCCCAGGAGGCATGGTTCACTGGAAGCCGCTGATGTAATAGTCCGGCCACAGATAGGTAATTGTCACTCCATTTTACAGCACAGGAAATTGAGGCACAGAGATGAAGTGAAGTACAGATGGGGAAACTAAGGCCCAGTGAGGTGGAGTAGCTTGCCTAAATTACTATGTTACTTTTAGGGGATACAGCAGTGAACAAAATGGAAAGTATTGCTGTCCTCCCAGGGTTTACACTTACTAAACAACTGAGTCTCTTAGAGAGCCAGGACCCAAGTGGTCCTGGCTCAGTGCCAAAAGAATGCAGTATCCAGCAAAATTTAAAATGTCCGTAAATCACACAAACGCTTCTTAAACCCCATTTTCTTTCTCATCTTCCCTTCACTTTCTACAGCTCTTCTCACCCCCAGCCTGAGTGCTTTTTACTTCTAGCCTCTCATTCTGTCCTATCTGTGGGAAAACAGGGGAGGAAAAGTCTGCTATGGGAGTACACGGCCGGAGCACTTAGCCCAGTCCAGGAGCAATCTGAGAAGGCTTCTCAGAGGAAGCGGTCTCTAGGCTGAGCCCTGAAGGATGAGTAGAAGTTAGGCAGATGAAGAGGAGAGGGAAGGGTATTCTAGGCAGAAGAAGCAGCCTGTGCCAAAGCCCAAAGGGCAAAACAAGAGCTCAGCCTGGTCAGTTGGAGGCTGGGCCTGGCAAAAATGAAGGGGGTGTGGCTCGCAGCCTGGAAGGTGTTAAGGGAGACGGGGGCGCCTGGGCCTAGGGCTGGGCCTTCTGGAGATGCCTGAGGCAGAGTTCACTTGAGTAGGCAAATCCTGGGGGGGTGGGCAGAGGTATAATAAAAGACTTTACCTTTCAGAGCCTGGAATGCCAGAGGCCTATGGAAATCAAGACCTGGCATTTTCCCTTCAGTGGGCGCTGCCCCGGGGAAACAATAGTCTGGCCTGTTACTAAATTATAACCATCAAACTGGCAGAAATCTTGCTGGGTGGAGGTTCACGGACTGGGGCAAGAACCACTCTCCTCATGGCACAGACAGGAAAATAGAAACCACAGGAGGGAAAGAGGTTCCAGGCCCTTGTGCATCAAGGAGCAGAGGTACCCTCAGAGCCCAGGGACGGGAAGGAGTCAACCTGGTGGCCTGATCTTCACTTCCAGTCTAGAGAGGCAGGTGGGCGCAGTCAGTGGAGCCTGCCCAGCCCTGTCACCAACTGGCTGTGGAGCCTGAGATCCACTCTGGGTCTTGGTCTCTCTATTTGTCAAATGAGGGAATTGGACCATCTCTGTGGTTTTCAAGTTTGAAAGCTTTTTCTTTTTTTTTTTTTTTAAGCCATAACTCGGTTAGTCAAATGAATCTTATAGAGCAGCTGAATACTTTAAAATAGATCAAAACAGAGCTGCTCTGATTGAAGCAGGTGGCCTTTATTTTCTCCCTCCAACCCCAAGATGACCTTGAGGTATCAACTGGGTTCAGTTTGAAGAGCCCTGAGGTGGGATATCCCTACAGGCCCTTCCAGCTGGTTCTGTGATTCCCTGATACTCTGAGAAGCAAACCCAGTAATAACGCCTGACATCATGGCAGCCCACTTGGTGGGCATGAAATCTCACCACCTCATTAACCCCCAATTCGTAGACCAACCCTGAACCCAGTCAACCTATCCACTATTTGTTCAGTTGACAAACCCTTGAGAAGAACGACTATATACACATGGGCTTAGGAACCACGTAGAGTTTTGCTATTGACCCCAGCTCTGCCTGTGTAGCTTTGAGCAAATTGCTTAACCTTTCTGAGGGCCACTTTCCTCAACAGGGACCATTATAGCCACCGTTGAAGTGAATAATTATATGCCAGACTCTGTTCTAAGCCCTGATGTAGACTTAGAGTATTAATCCTCACACGACCCCTTGGAAGAAGGTTCTATTGTCCCCATTTTACAGAGAAGAAAAGTGAGGCACAGAGGGTTAAAGTAGTTTGCTTGGAGGTCACAGAGATATGGGGCTCAAATTGAGCTGCTCCAACCCCAGAGTCACCTAAGCATTCTCATCTGCTGTCTCCTGAGTGGGGTTAGTCCCACCTGCCCCACTGAGCTCATGTGCTCATGTACAAATCCATAACATGAGAGTCTGTCCCTGGGTACTGAAAAATGGTAACGACCAGCATTAGTGCCTGCTCTGTGCCAAACATTCAGGTAGAGTAATGGACACAGACCCTGAGCAGGGCTGTCAGATTTCCAGTCCTGGTCTCCACTTGGGCCAGGTAATTATTTCTCTAGGATTCAGTTTTCTCACCTGTAAAATAGTGCTGATATCAATAGTACCTCCCCCAAAGCAGAGAGTAAATGCTATTTAAGTTTGTTAAGTATTATCTTATGATTAATGAATAAGCTACAACATCCGCCGTTAATGTTACAGCTGTTGTTAACTGTTTGGTCGAGGAACTCCTTATAAATTTTCCACACCCCCTGGTCAAGACTCCGCCTTACCACAAACAAAATCAGAAAGTCTCACGTCTTTGTTGGAAAGACTGGAGCCTCAGACCTCAGTTCCAATGGCCACAGGTGCTCCCTGCTGGCCATTTTCCACAAGTGCACCATCCACTTGCCTCAGACTTTGAACAGGCTTGTGTCTCGGTGTGGTCTGGTCAGAAGTCCCACCTCCCCAAATAATCTCACCAGATTGCACCCAGCTGCAGTTCTCCAGAGCACTGGGGTTCTGAGTAACTAGAGGCAGCTTGGGGTATGGGGAGTGGAAATCCACAGACAGGTTTGAGTCAGAATCTCCCTGGTGGTGTGATCTAGAAAATGTGTCCCTCCCCTGTACAACAGAAATGGTGATAACGCCTGCCTCAAGGACATTGAAGGCCAGTTTATGAACTATAAATGCTATTTTCTGAGTTTCTGAGGGTTAGTCATAAGCCTGTTTCTGAGGGTTAATGCACAAACCCTTGTAAGTGGAAAACGTCTCTAAGGAAAAATCCCACATCTTTCTGTCAGGCTTCCAAGGTCCCATCGTGAATAAGAATCCTCCACACAAGGTTGGGATTGACATATATACATTAATATGTATAAAATGGATAACTAATAAGAACCTTCTGTATAAAAAATAAATAAAATAAAATTCAAAACAAAAAAAAGAATCCTCCACACAGTCCATTATGCACTCAGCAGCCATGATGACATTAAAATATATATCAGACCATGTCACTCTCCTGCTCTAAGACTTCTTTCTTCCCTTTATGCTTAGACTACAACCCAACTGCCTCTCCTAACCTACAAGGTTCTTCCCAATCAGCAGCCTCCCTAACAACCTCAACTCCCCCAACTTCCCCTCTGGCAACTTCTGCTCAGCCACCTGTTCTATGAATACCCAAGCTCACTCCTACTTCCGGACCTTTGCTCATGGTGATGCTCTTATTTGACACATTTTTATCATCACTCAGATCTTTCCTAAAGTTTCACCTCATCAAAGCAGCCTTCCCTGACCATCTAATCCAAAACAGCCCTCTACACTTCGTGTCCTATTACCTGCTTCATCCTTTCTTTATGGTACTTATTACCACCTGCAGGGACCTTGCCTGGCTCCCCACCTGTTCAAGCAATATGTCTGGCACCCATGAGACACTCAGTAGATATTTGTTGAATGAATAAAGGAATTTTCCCTACCCAGGCTTCGGGGTGAAGGAGGCATAAGAGATACAGCAGAATGTTATGTGAGCCTAGGTTGTTCCCAGAAGTGGGGTTGAGGATGAAAACCCGTCGAAGTATATTGGTTTGTGTGTGTGTAGGTCCCTGGAGAAATAACACTTTTTCCTCAAAGCGTTCTTGGGAGGTCTTGGAGCTCTAGAGAAGCCCCAAACTGGCCCAGGCCCTGAGGATCCCCCCAGTCTGGCTGGGTAGACAGAGAAATGCCAACCTGAGCCCAGGACGCTCCCACAAAAAAAGAGGGAGCTGGCGCACGTATTTTCCAGCCTTCTCACACTTGGACATTTCTCTTCTGCTTTTGGATGAGACCCACCTTGGGCTGGGCCAGATCCGAGGGTAAGCGTGTCTCTCTTTTGGGTGGAGATTGCAGAAGGCATGGCCTTCATCGAGCAGAGGAACTACATCCACCGAGACCTCCGAGCCGCCAACATCTTGGTGTCTGCGTCCCTGGTGTGCAAGATTGCTGACTTCGGCCTGGCGCGGATCATAGAGGACAACGAGTACACAGCTCGGGAAGGTAGGAGATGCTGCCGAGGGCCCCGTGGAGCCCACTTGGGTGGGTCGTGACTGTTGAGAGTTAAGACCCGTGAAAGTGATTGGTAAAAATGCAAAGGTCTGTCCCAGTATCAGCTGTGAGTTATTAAGCTGGACGGACTCCTGGACATAGTGTCTTGGTCTGCAGATTCTCCCCCAGTGACTGTGATCAGTTGTAGATTGGGTTAGTCAAGTCATGTTGAAATTAAGGGTAAGAGCAACGTTATGTGTAGTCGACAAAAACTGGGAAGCACCTGGCTTCCCTGGTGGCGCAGTGGTTGAGAGTCTGCCTGCCGATGCAGGGGACGCAGGTTCGTGCCCCAGTCCGGGAAGATCCCACTATGCCGCGGAGCGGCTGGGCCCGTGAGCCATGGCCGCTGAGCCTGCGCGTCCGGAGCCTGTGCTCCACAACGGGAGAGGCCACAGCAGTGAGAGGCCCGCATACCGCAAAAAAAAAAAACAAAAAAAAACTGGGAAGCATCTAAATGTCCACAAATAGTAGAATGATCTTTAAATTGGGGTCTATTCACAGAATATGATATTATGGAACGATGAGAACTTACGAACCAGTGACACATGCAAAAAAGTAGATGACTATCACGGCATAATATCGAAATAAAAGAAATCAGACAAAAAAGTAGATGCTGGATAGTTGCATCTATATAAAATTCAGAATCAGGCAAACACATATGTGAAGGTTGACAGCAGCAATATTCTTAAGAGCCCAAAAGTGGAAGCAACCCAAATGTCCATCAACTGATACACAAAATGGGATATAGACATACAATGGAATATCATTTGGCCATAAAAAAGGCATGAAGTATTAATATACCCTAAACATGGATAAACTTTGAAAACATCATGTTAAGTGAAAGAAGCCAGACACGAAGACCTATATTATATGATTCCATTTATATGAAATGCCCAGAACAAGCAAATCTACAGACAGAAAGTAGATTAACTCCAGCCTAGGGCTGGAGTGGGGACCTGGCAAGAAATGAGTAGTGACTGCTATGGTTTTGGAGGGTATGATGAAAATATTTTAAAACACAACTTTGTGAATATACTAAGAACCATTGTACTGTATACTTTAGGTGGGTGAATTATATGGTCTGTGAATGTATCTCAAACAAAAAAAAACAGGCAAAACTCATTTATGATGTTAGAGATCAGAATAATAGCTACCTGGATTGGGGGGGGGGATTGACAGAGAGGGGGCCGGAGGGAACACTTCTGAGAAAGTGTTCTATATCTTGATCTGAGTGGTGATTACAAAGGGATATACATATATAAAATGCATCAAGTTGTGTATGAAAGATTTGTACATTCTATTTCATGTTTATTATGACACAATTAAAAAAATCTAAACTTAGGGCAACCACTAAAAGAATAGAGTGTAGGGCTTCCCTGGTGGCACAGTGGTTGAGAGTCCACCTGCTGATGCAGGGGACACGGGTTCGTGCCCTGGTCCGGGACAATCGCACGTGCCGTGGAGCAGCTGGGCCTGTGAGCCATGGCCGCTGAGCCTGTGTGTCCGGAGCCTGTGCTCTGCAACGGGAGAGGCCACAACAGTGAGAGGCCCACATACCACAAAAAAAAAAAGAATAGAGTGTATAATTTCTAAACCAAGAGAGGATAAGCAGGAATAAAAAAAACTCTCTCAATCCCAAGGAAGGAAGGGATTGGGGAAAAAAAGAAAAAACATAGAGCATTTTCAGAACTTGACTATGTACTAAATCATAAAGCAGGTCTCAACAAACTCCAAAGAACATGTATCCTTTACACCACATTCCCCAACCACAGTGGAATTATGATAGAAATCACTAACCAAAGGTTAACTAAACCCATCCCAGACCAGAGGCAAGGAGGGGAGGACTAGAAGGGGAGACACCCAAGTGACGGGGGAAACCTCAGAGGCCAAGAGCCAAAATCTTCCCTTTCCCCATTGCAGGGGGTTAGGGGGCGGAGGCATCAGATGTGACCTGGTCTCAAAGTCCCTTGAAGTTCTGCTGTCCCCAAAGATCCTGTGACCTCTAGGACTCCACTCTTCAGGAGTTGCAGTTCACCAGGACATCAGCTGAATCAATGAGGTGGCCCCAGAGAGTGAGTTCCCAGACACATCCCAGGCACCTCGGCCCACTCCTCCCCACTTTAGCCATCTGTCCTCAGGATGGATGTTCCTTGCTTCCACGGAGGCCAGATTGAGGGAAGTCACAGTTCTGCAGGGGGCAGACGTTGGCAGCTGTACCGCTGTCCTGTTCCCTTGCGTTAGCAGAGACCCAGCCCTGACTGCTCCCCAGACTCAGCCTGACTCTGCTCTGTCCAAACCACAGGGGCCAAGTTCCCCATCAAGTGGACAGCTCCTGAAGCCATCAACTTTGGCTCCTTCACCATCAAGTCAGACGTCTGGTCCTTTGGTATCCTGCTGATGGAGATCGTCACCTACGGCCGGATCCCTTACCCAGGTAGGAGAGAGAACATCAGCTTGGGGCTGCTTCCAGGGCCCAGCCTGGCTCTCTTCTCTTGTCAATGCGGCCATTCGGACCAAGTTTTTGTTTGTTTGTTTGTTATTTTGTTTATTTATTGTTATCAATTTTTTTTTTTTTTTTGGCTGCATCGGGTCTTCTTTGAGGCACGTGGGATCATTCGTTGCAGTGTGCGAGCTCTTCGTTGTGGTGCGCGGGCTTCTCTCTAATTGTGGCTTGCGGGTTTTCCCTCTCTAGTTGTGGCACGTGGGCTCCAGAGCGCGTGGGCTCTGTAGTTTGCGGCACGGGGGCTCTCTAGTTGAGGCACATGAGCTCAGTAGTTGTGGCACACAGGCTTAGTTGCCCCACTGCATGTGAGATCTTAGTTCCCTGACCAGGTATCAAACCCACGTCCCCTCCCTTGGAAGGTAGATTCTTTACCACTGGACCACCAGGGAAGTCCCGATTTTTATCAATATTTTTATTGAAGTATAGTTGATTTGCAATGTGTTAATTTCTGCTATACAGCAAAGTGATTCAGTTATATACATTCTTTTTTTAATATTCTTTTCCATTATGTTTTACCATAGGATATTGAATATAGTTCTCTGTGCTGTACAGTAGAACCTTGTTGTTTATCCATTCTATATATAAAAGCGTCCATCTGCTAACCCCAACCTCCCACTCCATCCCTCCCCCAACCCCTTCCCCCCTGGCAACCACCAGTCTGTTCTCTATGTCGGACTGAGTTCCTGGCCCTCACCCCCAACTTCCCCTCGCCTGCCCCATCTCAGTTAAAGCCTCCATTATCCATCCAGTTTCTTAAGCCTGAAATCTGGGAGCCTGCTTGGCCCTTCCTCTTCTCTCATCCGTTTCCACATCCAAGAAGTCACAGGGTTCTGGCCATTTGACTCCAAAACACCCCAAGTCGGCCCACTTCTAACTCCACAGCCTCCACCAACACCAGGCCAACATCCTCCCTCACCTCGCTGGTGCAGTGGCCTCCTAATCAGTCTCCCATCTCTCTAACAGGCCTTTCTCCACCTGAGACCAGAGGGATTTTTCTAAAACTGTGAACCAGATCTTTTCCCTTCTCCACCTCTAACTTTTTAATGGCCTCCCAGCATAATTAGGACAGAATCCCAACTCCTAATTGTGGCCTGCAGGTCCTTCATGATCCAGCCCCTGCCTACTTCTCCCGCTTCATTTCATGCTGTACCCCACAGCCCAGTCATCTAAAGCAGCAACCTTTTTGGCACCAGGGACTGGTTTCACGGAAGACAGTTCTCCCACGGATGGAGGTGGGAGGGTGTTTCAGGTGGTAACGCGAGGGATGGGGAGCGATGGGGGACAGCAGATGAAGCTTCGCCTGCTCACCCGCCGCTCACCTCCTGCTGTGCGGCCCAGTTCCTGTACCGGTCCACGCCCCGGTGGTTGGGGACCTCTGATCTAAAGTACCATACATGTCCCTGTGATTCTCATTCACAATACCCTATACTGTTTCATTCACAGCATTCATCACCACTGATAACTATATATTCATTTGATATTTTCTCCATCAGACTCTGAGCTCTGTGAGGCCAGAAATCATTTCTGTATTCCTCACTGGTGCATCTGCACTGCCTACATTTGTGCTTGGCTCATAATGGGTGTCTAGTAACTATTCGTCAAATGGATGAATTTATCCCCATGCCTATGGGCAGCACCCTACACTGAGTAGACCATAGGGTATACAAAGATATACCCGACATGTAGATTGCCGGGGACTCAGTAAATAAAGTTGTTCGCTGTTCCTTTTCAGTTGGGATGTATCCTAGGGTATCTGTAGCCAGAACACTGGGGAGAAGAGGCAAGGTGGATATAAAGAGTCCCTGACTTTTTTTTTTTTTTTTCGCGGTACGCGGGCCTCTCACTGCTGTGGCCTCTCCCGTTGCGGAGCACAGGCTCCCGACGCGCAGACTCAGCGGCCATGGCTCACGGGCCCAGCTGCTCCGCGGCACGTGGGATCTTCCCGGACCGGGGCATGAACCCGTGTCCCCTGCATCGGCAGGCGGACTCTCAACCACTGCGCCACCAGGGAAGCCCGTGTCCCTGACCTTTTAAGTAAATAGTCCTGAGTTTTAATCCTGTCCCCATCAACTATTACACTTTGGGAAATCCACTTGACTTCTACCCTAGTTCTTCATCTGTAAAAATTATAGGTAATGATGTCAACTACCTTGCAGAAGTGGTTTTGAAGATTAGAAATAAAAGGTGTAGACACTTGGTTCACTCATCAGTATTTACCAAATTCCTACTGTGTGTTAGGCATGAAGGATACAGCGCATGAAGGATACAGTAAGAGACAAGGTCCCTGCTCAGCAGGAGCTCACGTTCTAGCCTGGAGGAACACACACTAAACAGACACACACTCTCAGTGGAGATCACTGCAGAGAAGAAAATGAAGCAGGGGCTCGGGAGAGGGGGTGACATGGGCCTCCTGCGGACAGGGAGCACTGTCAGAGCAGGTCATATTTGAGCGGAAAGCCAGCTGAGTGAAGATCTGGGGGAAGGATTCCAGGTAGAAGGTACTGCCAGCTCTTAGGGCCTGCGGTGTGCCTGAAGAATAGCAAGGAAGCCAGGTAGCTGGAGACAAGGAATGAGAGCAGACGGTACATGAGGGGGTTGGCAGGGGCCCAGTCAGGCAGGATCCGTAGTCATGGTGAAGCCTATAGGTGTTAGTCTAAGTGTACAGAAGCTATTGGAGGATTCTAGGCAGGGAAGTGGCATCATCTGATTTCCACATTTAAGCGATGCTTTGGTTTAGTGTGGAGAGTGCATCGGGGCTGGGGAGATGGTGGGAGCTGCAGCAACGGCACAGGCAGTGGTGACAGTCGTAACAGATATAAGTTGATGAGTTGGTGCTGTGTTTTATAAGAAGAAAGGGTGTGACTTACTGATGTGGAAGGTGAGGGAGAGAAAAGAATCAAGGATGAGTCTCCTTGTTTTGATTGAGCAACTGGGTGCATGATGGTCTGGGAATAGAAATTCAAGAATTCCGTTTCAGCCCTGGTAAATTTGAGGTGACTTGTAGACATCTAAGTAAAGATGTTCAAGGAAGCACTTGGATCTATGAATATGTTTGGTGTTCAAGACTGGTAATATAAAATTGGGGATCATAGATGTTCAAAGGGTTGTTCTTGAGGATAACTAACATAAACTTTAATTGAACAAAGAAATGTTCCCAGGGCTTCACTGGTGGCACAGTGGTTGAGAATCTGCCTGCTAATGCAGGGGACACGGGTTCGAGCCCTTGTCTGGGAGGATCCCACATGCCGTGGAGCAACTGGGCCCATGAGCCACAACTACTGAGCCTGCGCATCTGGAGCCTGTGCTGCGCAACAAGAGAGGCCGTGATAGTGAGAGGCCCGCGCACCGCGACGAAGAGTGGCCCCCGCTTGCCACAACTAGAGAAAGCCCTCGCACAGAAACGAAGACCCAACACAGCAAAAATAAATTAATTAATTAATAAACTCCTACCCCCAACATCTTCTAAAAAAAAAAAAGAAATGTTCGCACTCATAGGGTGACACTGAGTCTAGCTACCTGTTTTATCTTGAGGGTACACCAATAAAAACCAGGCAATGGGTTATGGAATGCTGTATCCATTAGGATGCATTAGGCTGCAAGTAACAAATTATCAGGCTAAGAGTGGTGGAAACAATAGGTAAGTTATTTTTCCCCAGAGCAAGGAATCTGGCACTGGTGACTGGTCAGTTCAGTTGCTCAAATGCTCTCAGGACTCTGGGTTGGTTCCTCTGTGACTGTCTTCCCCATGTGGTCAGATGGCTGCTGCAGCTCCAAAGATCACATTGTGTCAGTATCCAAAGGAAGCAGGAAGGGTGTGTCCTCCAAAGCCTCTTTTCTCATAAGGGAGAAAAACCTTGCCTGAAAGTTTCCTGGGAGTCTCCCCATCAGCTCCATTGGCCCAAACTGTGCACCAGGCCCCTGCCCTCGCTGCAGGGGTGGCTGGAGAAGGGATACCTGGCTTTCACAGTGGGAGGAGCTCAGTTCCCATGGGGAGGTGGGGAGTGATGGTTATTGGGGAGGCAACGGTGTCTGCCACCCCAACCCCAATCCCTCCCTTTTCAATTCCATGGCTCCTTCTCAGGGATGTCAAACCCCGAGGTGATCCGGGCACTGGAGCGGGGGTACCGGATGCCTCGACCAGAGCACTGCCCCGAGGAGCTCTACAACATCATGACTCGCTGCTGGAAGAACCACCCCGAGGAACGGCCCACCTTCGAATACATCCAGAGTGTGCTGGATGACTTCTACACGGCCACCGAGGGCCAGTACCAACAGCAGCCATGACGGGGGGCGGCCAGGCAGGGCCAGGCACTGAGGCCATGCCTGCGCAGGGGCTCCAGCACCATCTGCCCAGCACCCGCTCACCTTTCCCACTCCCAGACACCCACCCTCTCTCCAGCCACAATTCCTCATCTGTCAAGTGGGTGGGTTGGACCGGACAATCTCTTTTTGACTCTAGCAACCCACAATCTGCCAATCTCAGGACACCCCCGGTTGATATTTCTATTGCCTGGGACAGCTGGATTCCAGTTACAGCTGTGGTTTGGATGGAGAACTTTAAAAATAATGAAATAAATATTTAAATAAAAGATCTGAATGCTAAAGGTTTTACTAACAGGTTGACTTGTCTTGTCCTGCCAATTTCTGAACATTTGCCTTTTGCTGGATGTCAAGTCAAAGGGGGAAGGACTGGCAAAGAGAAGTGGGGTTCAGTGCTCACAGTTTTCTAACTGCCCCCAAATACTTGCTAGCTGTGTTAGTTTCCTATGGCTTCTGTAACAAATTAGCACAAACTTGATGGCTTAAAACAAAACAAATTTATTGTCTTGCAGTTCCATAGGTCAGAGTCTGAGATGGGTTGGCAGGGTTCTGGGGGACAATTGTGTACTTGTCTTTTCCAGCTTCTAGAAGCTGTCCACATTCCTGGTTCCCTTCTGTTCATCACTCCAAATTCTGCTTCCGTTATCATATCTCCTTCTCTGACTCTGAGGCTCCTGCCTCCCTCTGTTACTTGTAAGAACCCCTGTAATTACATTGGACCCACCTGGATAATCCAGACTAATTTTTCCATCTTCAGTTCCTTAATCATATTTGTAGTCCCATTTGCCACATAAGGTAACATCTTCACAAGTTCCAGGAATTAGGACGTGGACATCTTTTTTTTTTTTTTTTTTTTTTTGAGGGGGAGCATTATTCACCTATCACAGTGGATGGTTTTTTGTCTCCCAGAAGCTGGGTCGGCCAGGATGACAGGAATGATTTTTCACGATCTGGGACACTGACTCTCCTGTCAAGCCACTTTGCTATGCATGTTGGTGGGTCTGGATCTCCCACAGGATAGGGGGCTGCCTGTAGCCCCTGCATTTCTCATGGCCAAGCAGCCACCATGGTTGTTAAGATGGTATCCACCATTGCAGGAGCCCTGGCAGCTGGGCTATCGCTGCTGAGAGGTATCTGGTACCCTGCGTTGGAAGCTCTCAGTGGAGGGTAGGGGGGTGGGGGCAGATGTGGGAAGGAGGCCGAGAAGATGAGGCAGTGGGGCCTTCCTGCATGTTGTCTCAGTTGAAAGTCACTGTTGGTTAGCTTTGTGGTAGGGGGAGCGATGAGAAGAGGTGGACAGTGGGGTGGGGAGCAAATAACACCTTTCTGTATTCTTGTATCTCCTGAAGGATCTATCTCCTTCTGTGAAGCACCCGCCAGAGTCCCATGGAACGCTATACTGACTTGATTCTGTAGCCTTGAGTAGCACAGGGTCTAACCTTAGGCACTGGGTATAAGAACAGTGGAAAATAAAGCTAGCAGTGTTTCAACTGACTTAGTTTATAACTGAATTTCTCTCTTGCTTTCTTGTTTGGGAATGTGTCTTTGGATATCTGAAAGCAGAGCCCAGGGTCCTGTGATAGGAATCTGCATATATGATTTGTGGCATATTAGATTGCTGTTCAGTTATCCATAGGAGGAGTGTACTTCCTGCCCCACTGATGTTGAGCTCGGCCACGGACTTGCTTTCACCAATGGAATGTTAGCAGATATGATGCAAGCGAAGACTAGAAATGTGCTTGTGTGGCTGGGCTTGCCCTCCAGTCTTTTGACCTGAAAAGAACAAGGTCCAAGGAAGATAAGTGACATGTGAAACAGATCTGGACCCAACCTGCAGCTTGGATTTAAACCCAGCTGAGCACAGCCTTGATCAACTGAAATCCAGCCAACCCATGGACATGTGAGAGAGAAGTAAATGCTTATTATGATAAGCCCTTGAGTTCTGGGGGTGTTTTGTTGTGTAGCATTATTATAGAAATAGATGACTGAGAAATAATCTCAAAAGGTGGAGCCTATATGGACAAGATCAAAGGGTCAATTCCTGCCCTCCTGCTCTTTCAGTTTACACTGCCCTCTGAACCCCATTAGCCTACACCCTGATTTATCCCTTTGGTCACAGGAAAGACTGATGAATCCTGGGGACAGGTACAACATCAAAAGTATGATCTGTGAAAGAAAACATTGATAAATTGGACTTTATTAAAATTAAAACTCTGCTCTAAGACATTTAAGAAAATGAAAATACAAGCTCCAATCTGGGAGAAAATACTGCAAAACATGTATCTGACAAAGGACTGATATCCCAAATACACAAAGTCTTAAAACTCAACAATAAGAAAGCAATTCACTTTAAAAAATGGGCAAAACTGGGCTTCCCTGGTGGCGCAGTGGTTGAGAGTCCGCCTGCCGATGCAGGGGACACGGGTTCGTGCCCCGGTCCGGGAAGGTCCCACGTGCCACGGAGCGGCTGGGCCCGTGAGCCATGGCCGCTGAGCCTGCGCGTCCGGAGCCTGTGCTCTGCAACAGGAGAAGCCACAACCGTGAGAGGCTCGCGTACCGCAAAAAAAAAAAAAAATGGGCAAAACACATGGACACCTCAAATAGAAGATATGCAGATGGAAAATAAGTATATGGAAAGATGCTCAACATCATGTGTCATTAGAAAAATGCAAATTAAAATAACAATGCAATACCACTGCACTCCTATCAGAATGGTTAAAATTCAGAACACTGATACAACCAAAAGCTGACAAGGATGTGGATCAACAGGGACTCTCACTCGTTGCTGGTGGGAATGCAGAATAGTGCAGGCACTTTAGATGACATTTGGCTCTTTCTTACAAAACAAGCATACTCTTATCGTACAGTCCAGCAGTTGCACTCCTTGGTATTTACCTGAATGAGCTGAAAACTTATGTCCACACAAAAATCAGCACAGATGTTTGTAGCAGCTTTATTTATAATTGTCAAAACTTGGAAGAAACCAAGATATCCTTCAATAGGTGAATGATAAACAAACTGTGATACATCCATATAATGGAATATTGTTCAGTGCTAAAAAGAAATGAGCTATCAAGACATGAAAGAACCTTAAATGCACTAAATGAAAGAAGCCAATCTAAAAAGGCTACATACTGTATGATTCCAACTATACGACACTGTAGAAAAGGTAAAACTATAGAGACAGTGAAAAGCTCAGTGGTTGCCAGGGGTTTGTTGGGGAGGGAGGGAGGGATGAAGAGGTGGAGCACAGGCGATTTTCAGGGCAGTGAACCTATTCCATGTGATTCTCTTAATGGTGGATACATATCACCATAAATATGACGAAACTCATAGAATGTACAACACAAAGAGTGAACCCTAATGTAAAATATGGACTTTGGTTAATAATAGTGTATCATTATTGGCTCATCAATGCTAACATATGTACCACACTGAGGCAAGATATTAATCATAGGGGAAACTGGGGGAGGGAGTATACGGGAACTCTGTACTTCACACTCATTTTTCTGTAAACATGAAACTGCTTTAAAAAATAAAGTCTATTAAATAAATATGGGGATAGATTTGTGCCACCCATTTTATGGGAAAACGGCACGCACTCCTCCCCGGAAGATGGCAAAGAAGGCATGGGTAAAGTGCCCGTTCTAAGATGTTAATGACTTGTTTCAGTCTTTTCTCTAGTTATAGCTTTGAGTTTAAATATAGGGAAAGCACTTGTTTCACTCTCTTCCCTGTGACTTGTAAAACTTTCTCCTCATTACCCCCCTGGGCCCTCAATTTTGTCACGTGTCTGTCCTTGTCCCAATATGTTCTGACATAAGGCTATAACAGTTTGCATTCTGTTTGCATCCCTTCCCTTTGGGGGGTTGGCAGTGACTGCTGGTTGTCCCCATATCTATGTTCCCCCTTCTTCTAGAAGTAGAATTCTGAGAAACAGAATTTTTATTAGGGACACATAACTCCCTGGAATGAAGACTACATTTCCCACTCTTGCAGCAAAGTGTGGCCACGTGATTAAGTCCTGATCAATGGGTTGTAAGTGGAAGTGTGGTGTAGCATCTTCCAAATTCCTTTCTTAAAAGACAACTGATGTGGTCTCTTCGCCTCTTATTTTTCATCTCTTCCTCTATCTTTCTGCCTAGAATGTACGTGTGAAGGCTAGAGCTTTAGCTGGAAGCTTGGACCCTGAGGAAAATAAATTAATTCTAGGGATGACAAAGCTGGATGAAGCTTGATTCCCTGAAGATATTTGAGGCCCAGCTGCCATATCAGCTAAGACAGTCCTCCCCAGACTTTTAACTTTACAGGGTGTGACAGGCACTGTTGGTATCCCTTAAAGTGGACTGGATTTTTAGCTGTCATCTGCATCACTGTGCCTGAGAGCTCTTTTTCTAAAACTGCAAAAAGCTTCAGCTACCAGTGTTCCCAGAAGGCCAAAAGTTCTAAGGAATTAACACCCTGTGGGATCAGTCCTCAACTAATGACTTTTGGGAGGTGGTGTATAAATCCCCCAGCTCCCTTGCCCCTTGGGTAGGATAACTGAGGTGAGTGTTTTGCATTGTTTCCCAGAGTTTCCCCACAGAATTAAGCTTCAGTTAACCACGATGGTAACTTGCTTGACAACATATGCTTTCCAAGTATAGTTCCAACACGAATGTGAGTTGATAGTTTCATGTATATTCACGAATCAGGTGAAAATGAAATAATGAAGGCGTACATCAGAACTTCACTTGTTATTCAATGATATGAGCAACTTCTTTGCTGAATAAAGTAAGAGTTTCAAATGCTATCACATTTTTGTGCTAATCACAATGTAACAGCTACAGACATGATATTCTGAAAGTTTAGTCTGCATAACTGACACTTTCTCCATCACTTTAAGTCTAAGCTGGGGTTTGGCAAACTACATTTTATTGGAACACAGCATGCTCATTATTTACTGTTTGTAGCAGCTTTTGTACTACAAGGCGGGGTTGAGTAGTTGTGACACAATCACATGGTCTGCAAAGCCTAAAATATCTACCATCTGTCCCTTTACAGAAAATTTTTGCTAACAAAGCAAAAATTCAAGTCCTGATTTGTAGCATTTGCTGATTTTTGTGGTGTAAATATCCCCACCATGGCCAATTTTAAGCTACCATCCAGAACCGTATTGTGGCTTTCATGGGGCTTAGGCAGTTTTGCCTTTGTAGGACACTTCCTTCATAAAATATACATTTTATAAATATCAATATAAATGTTTTTATTTATAAACATAAATTGTATTAAATATAAATTGCAGTCAACAGCTGC